AACAAGGAAAGTTTTAGCCTTAAATTTCTTCCAACGGTCAGGTCTCTACATCGATGTTCCATACTAGAACATCGCTGTTTAGGTCTGCCTTTGAAGATGGAAGTTTGGCCTGACATCGCTGTTGCTGAGTCAACATCGCTATCCAAAAACTTTCTGCCAATGCACTATATTTTTGGCTTAGGTTGGACAGCGCTGTAGGGAGTCGGCGATGGAGGCTAGGTTGGCCCGGGCCTGGGGTTCGGCTGGGCCAGCGGCAGGGGCAGTGCGGCGTGGCTCGGCAGTAGCAGCCGCGGCGTTGTCCGACCGCTTGATGAAGGTTTGGTTGCTGATTGTCCAAATCTTCGTGGCCTTCGTGAGCGGGCCAAAGGTGGTGGTTACCTTGAACCGTTCAAGGATGTCCATCACCAAAAACGGGTACGGGAGGAGGTGGTCGTGCTCGGTGGACGCGGCAATCGTCATGTTGATCATGACAAACTTTGCCCAATTGATTGGGGCCGTATGCATGATCGCATGGATGAGCTTGAGGTCTTCACCGTGCATGATGGTGTGGCCGTGCTTCCTGGGTTTGATGATCTGGGAGACGATGTAGAGAACGAGACGGCCTTCGGGGTTGGCGGAGTGAATGGTTGGGCGGCCCGAGGCATGGCGTTTGAGCTCGGTGATGCCAAGCTCGTTGAGGATAAGGCCCTCGTTGTTGAGCACCCAATCCTCTCCACCATAGTGAGACACATCGTCGCCTTGGAAGGGGAGGCCGGCAATGCGCCCAAGCTGCTCCACGGTGAGCTCGATCGGCGTGCTCTTGACGAGCGAGTAGAGCACAGAAGGCCCGGATCAGCGCCGGGTTGATCTCCTTGCGCGCCCGGGAGACAAACGGCCAAAGGCCGGCTTGATGAAGCTGTGCGTCAAGGTCGTCGTAGCCCTGCAGCTCCGGGTAGCGCTCCGGGATGATCCGTGGGGGAGCCACAACCCGTTGAGAGAAGAAGGTGAGGAAACGGGTGCACTCCTCCTCGGAATCAAACCAAAGGTAAGTCCCGTCGCCATAGTAGAGGCGCTCCTCGGAGGATGACGTAGGCGCCCGGGATTTGGACTTTGATTTCCCGGAGGTGGCGGCCCTGCTCTTGTCCTTGCCCATGATGAAGAAGAAACAAAAAAATCTCAAAGGAGGAGAGTAGAGATGATGGAATAAGCAAAGATATTGAAGAGAATTGTGTTTGTGTGTGTAAAAGTGATAAGAGGGGGTCCAAATATATAGGAGAGAGGGTGCCCAACGTTCAAAATTTTTAAAAAAGAGCTGTTGGAGCTTTTAATGCAGTTGCAACGGATTTTTTTTGAAAGATTTGACCGGAACAGCGATGTTCTACAGGCGACATCGCTGTTAGGACAGCGCTGTTGTGCCTGGTACAGCGCTGTTCTGCGTCGAGTTTAAAAAACTGGAGTTAAACAGACAGCGATGTTGAGTGCCCTACAGCGATGTTTCAAAAGTTTCTGGAATTGTGAAAGGGTTTGAACCCATTTGAACAGCGCTGTTAGGTGTCTATACATCACTGTTTTGCGATAAAGGAAAAAAATTTGTAAAAGAAGGACATCGATGTTGAGAGTGAGACATCGCTGTTTAAAAAGTTTCTGGTTTTGGTAGAAAAACAAAGTGTTGGGTAGACAGCGATGTTTAAAAAAGAACATTGACGTTCAAAAAGTTTCTGGAAAGTGAAGATTTAAGGGACTCCCTGGGGCAGCGCTGTTGGCCTATTGTACAGCGCTATTGGAAAATTTTCTGGCTGACGTTGTTTCCCTCAACAGCGCTGTTGTGTCTCCTGGACAGCGCTGTTTGCATGGTTCCCCCTGATTCCATGAACGGGGTTCCTACTGAACCAACGCCAATGATCTTTCCCTTCAAGCACACCTATGAAACACATCAATGAGTTTTAGGTACCCAATTTACGTTGGGTCCTCGGGTGTTAGGTGTGTGATGGTAGTGTGCTTGATTTTGTGATAGGTGCCTATGCCTAGTGTAACAAACGGGAGCAATATGGCCTATCCTATTACAGTAATGGCAAACTACGTTGGGGTTGTACATGTGCCTAGGTTCATAATAGTTAGAAGGTTTAACCATTCTGTTCNTACATCGCTGTTTTGGCTGTTGACTTCCAAACAAGGAAAGTTTTAGCCTTAAATTTCTTCCAACGGTCAGGTCTCTACATCGATGTTCCATACTAGAACATCGCTGTTTAGGTCTGCCTTTGAAGATGGAAGTTTGGCCTGACATCGCTGTTGCTGAGTCAACATCGCTATCCAAAAACTTTCTGCCAATGCACTATATTTTTGGCTTAGGTTGGACAGCGCTGTAGGGAAGCCTACATCGCTGTTCCAGAAGTTTCTAGAAATCCAACCTTGGCTCAACAGCGATGTCTAACATCCAACATCGCTGTTGGAAGACTTAACGCCAAAGCATGGTTTTCAGCCACCCAAGCCAGACAGCGCTGTTGGTTTCACCAACACCGCTGTTGGGCTGGTTTAGCCAGACCCATGGTTGGTTTAGTCAGCCGTTAGCCGATGTAAAAAATGTAAGTTCTCCAAAATAAAAACCAAGCATTGAAAATGTTTGTTTAATGCATTTTGCTAAGAAATCAAGTAAAACATTTTGAAAACCACATCATTTAGTTGAAAACCACGGCTAGCCAAGTTTACGCCGTTTCGCATGGTTTTCACTAAACGACCAAAAACGAAGGGTGGTTTTTGAAGCGTTTTTGTTGGAGAACTATTTAAACATGCCCAGAAGTAAAAACCAATCATTAAAAGTTGAAAAACACTTGGTTGGTTCGGACGCCAAAAACCAACGCCGATAACCAAAAACCGAACGCTGGTTTCCGAAGACCGAACGCCGGATGGCTTGGTTTTTGGTTTGGGCGAACTCCAAGTGTTTTTAGGCAGTTTAACACTTAAGAAAAACATTTTTGAATATGCAAACGATATTTTGATGAGAGAAGCCTAGAGAGCTAAGATTTTAAAGTTGTGCCGGTCTTGATCACATTAAGACCGATTCAATACAATTCTAATTCTTCGTTCTTGATTCTTGGTTCTTGGTTCTCAAATCATCATGCCATGTTCCTTCGCCTTGGTTTTTCTCACTTTAGCCTTGTTATGGTCACGGCGGTTTGGCATTATCAAAACCTGTCATAAGACGAACACGGCTTAGTACGACATAGGCGTAAACCCGTGTTCCAACAGAGAATGATTACTGATTTTCGCAGGATTAATAATATAAACGTAAGCGCAACGGAAATAAAAGAGAGAAGGCAAAGAACACACCGATGTATACTGGTTCACCACCTCGTGGCTAGTCCAGTTCCCCGAGAGAGTCTCTCGAAGCTACCACTACTTCCGTTAAGCTTACGGGTGCTTAACAAACCGTTTACAAACCGAGAACTTGAATCCCACAAGCCTCAATACAAATGCTTGTAGATGTGCCCTCTACAAGACTTCACACTCAAGACTTAAGTCACATAAGTCTTATACAATAAGAAGAATAACCTTCTTCAGCCTCACAACAATAACTCTCACAAGAGTAGAAATGAGAAAAGATTAAGCTCTATGGATGACAAGAACACTCTCTTGAAAACACTTAGTTTTCTCTCAAAACATATCAATTTGAGGAAGAAATGAATGGAGGATTATAACCTCAAGATTGGAGGAGTTTAGGAGTGCTTGTTCATTCTTAAAATGACCAAGGAAAGGAGTTTATAAAGGGTTTGAAGAAAATGTCCGTTGAAGCAAGAAAAAACAGTTTGCTGAAAAATGCAGCATAAAACTCGATTAATGCACCATAGTAATCGATTAATGCAGTCTGTTCAAAAATCCTTCAACGGACGAAATGATAATCGATTTTTGCCAAAGTGTAAAAATCGATTTTCGAAGCAATTATGCCCAAACAAGAAGGACACAATCATGTGCGCGAGGTGAAGTACTAATTTGGAATTTAACACTTGTTTAGGACATAAAAATCAAATAAAAAGGCTCCCCAATCAACAAATATAATTCAAATTCAAATTTGAATTATGAGAGTGTATTTTTGGTGCAGAAAATGAGTCCCAAAAATATTTTGTGTGTCAAATGATAAACACGAAAATATTTGAATAAAACATTTTTGCTTTCCAAAAATATTTTCTAATATCAAAATAAATATTTTGATAAATGTTTGACACACCTTTGGTAACTGACTCAATAAAACTATTTTGAACAGTTAAAAAGATTTTTCAACTGACTCCAAAAATATATATAATTTTTATTTTAACTCTCATAAAAATAATTTTGGAGAGAAGATATTTTTGTCATCCTTACAATAATTCCTAAGACTCAAATAAATAAGAAGTCTTAGGAAATCTTCTACTCCTCCGAGTCCTCTGTTAGGCGCTCCGAATGCGTCTCAGACTCCAATAAAATCTTGTGCACCTTCTTGAATACTTCAAGGAATTTTCACTTCAAGTCTTTGTGTTTGTCGTTGTATCACTTTGATCTTGACTTGAATAAATTGTGTTTGTCAATTATCAAAACCTGTGAGTCAACACTTAACAACACAAAAAGGGTTGAACTCATGCATTCCAACAAAATCTATTTGCATAGCTTTCAAGTGGTGATTTCTGGTGGCCGATGCGACGGATGACAGTGTGTCGGTGATAATGTGATAGTTACAATGTGACAAACGGTGAGTATGACAGTGTGAACTCCTATTTTGGTCATAAAAGACCCTCTTATTTTAGTATTTTCATAGTTTGTTTACTAGGGAATTCTCTCAAAAAAATGCAGAAAGTAAAACTCACATCTCGATCTTTTTTCTCATGTTTGAGAAGAGAAAAGAGATAAGGATAGAGGGCAAAAGTTTTCTCCCCTGTTGATACGGTATCCAAATAGGGAAAGGAGATTGAGAAATTGGAGAAAGAAAGTGAAGAATTCGGGAGAAGATGAGAGAAAGTAGAGGAGGTGAGGAAGAAAACCGTGTGGCTAGAGAGGAGAGGTAGAAGAGAATTAGGGTTTAGGAGATATAATATTATTGTTCTTCATTGATGGTATTCTAAAGGGAATTACAACTCAATATATTGATGAAGATGGTAAACCCCAACCCAAGCAAACACCTAATCCCTAAGACTGTCGGTTCAATAAAAGCATTGAGGTAAAAAACCGAAAAGAAACCCTCGAATGAGTGTTATAATTCCACTCAACAATAAAAAGTAAATAAAAATAATTAAACTATCTAGCTAAACTATTAAAATATCTAATTAACTAAATAATACTATAAATTATTAATTAATCCTTCTGTATCACCTATGCAGGTGAGAAAATGGGAAAAAGAAAAGTAATATGATTACTTATTTACCATTACAGCTACACATTATTATATTATCACATAAGGATAAAATAGTCATTTTACATTATTAAGATTTATTTTCACCTACTTTTCATTTAATTTCTTGTCATTCTCTCTCCATTTTCTTATCAACTAAAAAACCTACTTTTTTCTCACTATTTTTCAGAAATTTCTTTCTCTCATTTTCTTTTCATTCATTTTGTAAAAGTTATCCAAAAAATTTGAATCTCTTTAGTCTATGAGTTCTAATCGAGATTATTTTCGTCAAAGTTTTGATGTAAGATGTTTTGGATATCTAGTGCTGGCAACTTAACAAGTGTCATGCATTTTGCTCCTCACAGGCTTCGCCTTCTCTCATCAAAGTTAGCGCTCTATTTCCTCAACAAAACGCCCACCTCCCTCTTCTTCTGTCTCATTCTACTCTCTTCCCCCATTTGAATCCCCACCTTCTACACCCTACCCACACATCTTGATCCGATTTCACTCTTGACCGGTTCCAGATCCGGACCCGCATTGCTCCCTCTCCATCAGGTGTTTCTTTAGTTTTTCTCCCCTTCAACTTTCCTCTTTCTTGGTTTAATTTTACTTGTGTGAGCTTAATTTTTGTTTATCTTTTCTAAAAATTGATTTGTTTTTTTTCTGTTGTGGTCTTCTCTAGGTTGTTTTGAAAGTTTTTGCGTAGCTCAATGAAGTAAGTTTACTTATATAGTTCTTTGAATTCATGTACTGCTCTTTATGTGAAGCATTTGTGCCCTCTTTTTGACCTGTTGGACCTGATTCTTTGCTACTGAGCTTTTATCCTCATATAGACTTTTTTAGGATTGGTTTTGAGGGTCAAATCACTCTAAAAGGTTGAATCCTTAGTTCAACCTAAGATCTTATTAACCTATCTTTATTTTTTAAATAATTTGATATCGGGCTCTAAGTCTCTAATAAGGTGTAAATTATTTTTTCCCGAACAAGAGAACCAGAAATTGTGTGTACACACTTTTAAAGTGTTGTTAATCTTTAGTCAGGAGAATTAAGTTTGTTATTCTTTTGGAATGCTAACCATAAGGGTGGTGCTGTTGAGAAATTCGGTAATTCAAAACTTCTTGAAGAGAAGAAGTGCCCGTGACTGAAAAGGAAGTGCCGGATGCTCTCTTCATTTCCACTTTCTTGTCTCAAGCAGCAAACCTTGTCAAGTGAGTGCAACTTTGATGCATAAATTTTCTTTTTTTGCTTGTTTTATATTAAAATTTGTGTTCAATTTTTTTAAAATAATATTTTCCCTGATTACATAGGCTTGTGGATTCGAAGGACATAGCTAAAGTCCATCTAAAGCAAATGGACTACGAGATCATTATAAGGAAGAAGGAAGCATTACCGCAGGCAAACATCATGGCTGCTCCTGCTTCTATCGAGCAGCCCTCTTTTCATCAGCCAATTGCCCAGCAGCTGTTACCACCTGCCCCTGCACCTTCACCTGCCCCTACCCCTGCCCCTGTTGCAGCCCCTTCACTTCCTTCAACTGCACCTGCAAAACCAAGTTCATCTCATCATCAGCAAAAAGCTCCCATGGCTGGAACTTTTTACCATGCTCCTTCTCCTGGTGCACCACCTTTTGTTAAGGTATCTGGATCTTATCTAATTGTTTTCAAATATATTTTGGTTGTTCACCAAAGTGGTTCTTATTTTTTCTTTCAAAGTATTTTTATTGAGAATTTTTTATAAAAAGTTGTGCAGTCATGTTAAGCCTTGGTTGTTGTTAAAGTAATAGCCATGTTAACATAATGAAAAATATACTTTCTCAAAATTTTCACTTTGCACTTCAATGCAACTGATGTTGTATGGTCGGTCACTTGATGTTAAATATGCATAAATAGTTTAACATTAAACAAAGGCATAAAATCCTAGCATGAAATGCTTTAAGGAAGTACTCTAGTTTCCATTTGTTTCCTTTAGTTCCCAAGAATGGCAACCAAAATGCCTCTTTTTTCCTCAATATGTAGATATCATTCCTTTTTATCCTTTAGAAATGAATTTGTAGGAGTGAGTTAATGGATTAACATTGTTTCAAGGGTTAAACTTCATAGCTGGGAGGTACAATATGGTGTAACAGTATTAGGTAGAATGGTTTGGCTTTACGTATTTGGAAATAATTACACATATAGAAATTAAGACAGAAATAGTCATTGAAAGATCAATAAAGTAAGACTGCAGAGCTTATAATAATATATTAGAAATTTTAAATTCAAATTAAATGTATGTCCCGGGATGTTAATCTTCTGTAGGCAGTTTCTATATTTTCACGACATATCATGATCTCACATGTTCCCAGGTAGGAGACAAGGTTAGTAAAGGGCAGTTACTCTGCATCATTGAGGCAATGAAACTGATGAACGAAATTGAGGTGAGTTCTAGCTTGGTATTTCAATTCAAAAAAAGCTAGAATCACACCACATTTGACACCATTGTGTCTCATAGACGCACCTAAATAGTTTTGTCTGTTTGTGTGTCTATGTGAGACACAATTGTGCTAAAAGAGGTGTCATTTGTGATGTACCGCTCCTAGCATGACTCATTTCAGTTACATGTGCATAGTTCTGTTTTTTCCATCGTATGGGAATGACGTGCCCGACACAAACTGTAGAGTCTCGCATTATGTTTTAGAGGGCCACGAGAGATCCATTTCCATGCAAAATGGACTATATTATCCCTTCCCAATACCCCCCCCCCTTGCAGCCGCGAGTCTCCCTGTGTCTATCACTAATAACCTTTTTTCAAATCTCTCCAAAAAGTTTCATTTTATATTTTAGAACTCATGTCATTTATTCTAGATTTCAGAATTCATATCATATCAACCCTACATGTCAATGTAGACATGGGGAGCCGGCCCACTTGATAGTTTGGGTCTGTCCATTTGTGGTCTGTTTGGGTCCAAAAGTCAACCCCTTAGGATCCTTTTCGGGTGAGTTAGGCCCGTGTTGAGAATACATCTAGTCATTGTTTAACTGCAAGTGCTTGTGCTAAAAATGGTTAGTGCTTTCTTAAATGTGCTATATTTGAAGTTAATTCTTGCTCACATCTATTCTATGTTACCGGTCTTGTTTGGGAACAATGGTTTCAATTAGCGTGAGCATTTTTGGATAATTTTTTAATGGTTAATATTAACTTTGAAAACTAGCCTTTTCAAAACGCTAAAGCTATTGCCAAACAGACCCATCATTTTCTGGCTTCTCGACTGTTTCAATTTTTTTTTGCATCGCTGATAGGCTGAAATTTCTTGGACCATTGTTGAGATACATGTTGAAAATGGAAAGCCTATCTCTATTAATACGGTCTCTCTCTCTCTCTCTCTCACAAAGCATGTTTGTACATATCTTCAGCAATATATTGTTCCAGTTATATTGAACTAATGTCTTTCTTGTTTGCAGCCTTTATTTAGCATTGCACCCTGAATATGAACAGATTGAAAGCTGCATAGGTCAGGCAGGGGTGGAGTTGCAGAATGAGTTCTGAGTAATTCGGCTAAATCGGGTCCTATTTATATAAATTGAAGAAAATTTATTTTCATTGTGCTTGTGCTTTTAATGTATCTTAGAATAATGTCAACTATTGATTGATATGGATTATTTGATATATTTTATAGTAGTGTTTATTTGTGATTTCTCCATCTTTATTCTAGAGATGCTAGAGTCACTAACAAAAAATCACAAAATGCACCAACTCGTCATATGTGATTTTTATATTTTTACGTTTTTTTATAATTTGAGATCACATTTAGTGGAGTTCACAAATGATGATATTCTAAATCTTGTACATTTTTTGTTTGTGACTCAAACATTTCTCACATGTGTAGTCTAGAGGAGTTTGAAAAAAAGATGCAACGAGGACGTTGCATTCCTAAGTGGGGGTGAATGTAATACTCTGATTTGAAACATAAATGGATTAGGGAAAGAAAAGACTCAAAAAGATTGATAGTATTACTCATACCAACAAAATACATCATCTTTTCAAGAGCTCATCATTTAAAACTCCAAAATTAAGCATGCTTGACCTAGAGCGCGCAATTCTAGGATGGGTGACCCCTAGGAAGTTTCTTTGGGCGTGCACGAGTGAGGACAAAGTGTGCGGGAAAGACTTGTGTTGGTTTGTGGAGTTAGTCTACAATCTTATAAGCGGATGCTTACGGCCAGGGTGGGGGCCTCTTATAATATCTTGATGGGCCAAGTTCCCATCACATGTCCTTTTTTACAAGTCAAAAATGATTTTTTTTTGCTTCTGCACATCTCTTTTCCTTATCTTCAGTCTCTGTGCATGTAACGGAGATTCTTTCTTGGAAATGTTTAACTCAAGCGGTCCACTACTGATTCCTGTGGCTTCTATCAATCGGCGGTCCCTGGCATTGATGAAGATTTGACATCCATGGGTCCCCACTCAACGATCCCTCATTGATGAACGGTTAAGCAGTCCCTTCAATTCCCTAGTCAAGGTGGACCGCATCCCAATGTTTTCTCTTCTCCATGGGCTTTCCTTTTCTTCATTTTTACAAAATGTCTTTATGGGAGGCGGCTCTGGATATTTGTTGACCGTATTCCACATTACAAAGAAATTCACATGATGGCTCGCTTAAGGGGATTGGCTCGATGCCAATGGATAATTCCTTTTCAAAGTATCTTTTAGTGTGGAATACGGTTATCAGATGGCCCCTACCCAAGTGACCGTCTGTTTACAATTGGGTTGGGTTTGGAGGCGGCTCCCATTTTCTGAATCTGATTAACTCTGAGGGATTCACTACATGTCTGGCCATCAACTGATTTCTTATGCCTGACCAAGACCTTTGTTGGGACTTTTGCCTCGAAGCCATAGGTTAAGGCAAAAAGAGTCTCCTATGTGGCCCTCCTTGGAGTGGTTCGGTGGGCCCACAGGATATAGGACAACTCTTCCGCCCAAGAAGTGCCTAACTCATGCAATCTCTTCTTGATGTCGTCCACAATTGTCTTGTTGGCATTCTCTACATATGCATTGCATTGAGGATAGGCCACGGCTGCTCGACTAAGCTTGATTCTCTATGCGGCACAAAATTCCTTGAAACTTGTGCTAGGAAACTGAGTGCCATTATCCGTTATTATCTTCTTAAGAATGCCTAACCTGCATAACAAGTTTTTCCATACAAATTTTCTGCAACTTTCTTCTATGATCCTTACAAGGGCTTCCGCTTCGATCCATTTGGTGAAATAATATATCCCCACAATGGCGTATTTCTTCCCTGGGTAAAGAGACCCACCAAATCCAACCTCCATCTGGCAAATGGAATCGTCGTGGTGACAAGAAGGATGGGCGTTCAGGGATAGGAGCAAAGGCTTGACAGGTGGGGCACTTCTTTACCAATTCTAGTCCATTTTTCTTCAGAGTAGGCCAATAAAACCCTTGGAGTGTCCCTTTTCTTGCTAAGGTGAGGGCACCTTAATGGGCAGTAGAGCATACCCCCTGATGCACTTCTTCTAACACTCTCTCTCTCTTTAAGACATTTGAGCATCGGTCCACCCAAGGTTCTCTTGTATAATCTTCCTCCATCTAGCTGATATTTTGGGGCCATCAATTAGACCTTACGGACCTCCTTAGGATCAAGAGAGAGCTCTCCATTTTCAAGATACAATGAGAGGGGGCTCATCCATGTTTCACCAGGTTCCGATATCTCCAACACATGGTCGGCCTCCTTCCAAACTCGACAAATTTTTCATATTGTCTCACCATGCTTTCCATATGGACAGGAACGGTTCTACACAACTTGGCAAGCATATCAGCTTCCTCATTTTCTTCTCTAGGTAGGGGAAATTAATTGCATTTCAAATTGTAAAATAAAGAAAACATTTGTGTAAAAAAAGAAAGCCAAAAAATGATTAGTTAATTTTTTTTAACCTCAAACATCATCTATCTGTAAAAATCCTATTTATAGATCTTTCTCACTCAACTCTCCACTCTCCAGAGCATCTCCAAAGATGTACTCCCTCCGTCCCAATTTAAATCGCCTGTTTTGACTTTTGAACATATTTAAGGAAAATAAAAAATAGAGTTGAATTTTCGAAATTGTCATTACTTTTTAGGAGGGGTGAAGATGAATGAGAAGATAAGGTGAATAAGAGTGACTTATTTTAGGGGTAGTTTATGTACTTTATTTTTTAAAGTTTATGAAAACAACTAACATGCAACTTATTTAAGGACGGAGAAAAAAGGCAAATATGCAATTTAAAATGGGAGAGAAGGAGTAACTATAATTTGGGAAGTTAAATACTATATATTTTAACTTCTCAATAAGGTTTTAACTATTGATTTTTTAACACCATTCAACCATATCATCTAAATTATTCCCTTTTTTATTTTTAAATAATAAATAACTTAATATTAAAATTTGAATTAACGTATACAAAAACAATTTCTTCATTTGTCCCAAAATGATTTATACTTTTACAATCCGAGCCTTAAGATAATTGGTATCTACTCGTATATTTTACATTAATCATTTGATAAAATATAACATTCTCATCACATCTTGCTTTGGAATTTTTTATGTAGCATTTAAACATGCAATTATGACTTTTTATTTCTATACAAATTTATTGATAAAATCATTTTTAAAAAATTAAAATTTTACATATTATTCGAATTGTATAAATAAATTTGGGACGAAGAAAGTACAACCGGAGTAGTACCATTCTAACATGGCTTTTCTTTTTTGGGGCAAATCCTTCCGCACAACAGGACAGAACAAAAATACCTCCCCGATGTACCTTGAGTACATCAGCCGGATGTTACTTGATCATTCTTTACCAAAAACTGAGTAGAATAATAACAATACCAAAAAAAACAATGAAATGCGCAAATTCAAAGCAATAACAAACATGTCACGGATATACATACATATATGATATATCTAGGTGTTTAATATAACTTGGTCTTCCAATATCACAAATTTATTTTGTGCTATCAAATAAATTAGGAAGCTACATAATTAATGCACTTTTGGTTTATTTGGACAACTATTGTTGTCATATTATGACAACTCAAATTGGAGCACCTACAGTGGGTGCTTTGTTTCTAAAATATATGGTTCCGGATTTGGCAGCCAATACATTATTGGCTGCCAAATTAGCGATCCTTTGGGAGAGGGGGAGGGGGCTTGCTCTGTTTCTAAAATATATGGTTACTATCCCCTAACCCCATGCACCCCCGATCGCCAATTTGGCAGCTAATAAATTGGCTGTCAAATTAGCAATCTGTTGGAGGAGGGGGCAAGGGGGCTGGGTTAGGGAATTAGGAACCATCGATTTTACGAATGGAACATCGTAGGTGCTCGAATTTGAATTGTTGCCATAATATGACATTATGGCTTGTCAAAATAAGGGGGTCTAAATTAATGATTGAATAACAAAGTTGATAAGAATATATAAGAATAAGGCGTCATCAAGGGGGGCACATAAATAAGAATTTCCCACACTCGTTCAAAGAAGATAGAGTCCCCTACTTCCGTAATCCAAACAAAAATCAAATGAACCAAAACAAAGACAGGAAGCAACTACCCCGTTCAACTTTTCTTGCTTGGTCGAGGGCCGAGACCCAAGTAATTTGTAACCAAGCCCATAATACCGAACCTGACAAAAAAATGTCCAGTACAGAATAAATATTTTGTGCAGAGACTTGGGAATAATCACTAGTTCATAGAAGCACAGCAGCTTATTAGAAGAATGCTAAAAAAAAGTTGTGTGTATTAGGTTTAGTTACTCTTCTTGTGGGACGGATGGAGTATTATATATAGCATATGAGAAGGGTATATAAAACACATGCATCACATTAGTCCAAGCATTCAAAATAAGCACCCGCACAGAGAAACGCCTCCTAAATATTACCCCAAAAAATTACTCGCACTTTTTCAAAATAAGAGTATGATTGAGGAGTTTGGCTGAACTATTTGTTTGGTGTGTGTATGCAAATCTTACCCCAACTCAAAAGTAGAGAGGTTTTTTCCAAGAGGCCATAGCTCGAGAAACACATAATGCACAAAAAACACAGAGCACGGCAAAAGAAGCACGTAGCAATTTTAGGGTAAAGATAGAAAGCGCAATGAAACAAAAAGCACCACGCAAAGAAGCACGCAACGACAAGTGCAACAACTACCCTCAAGCCCAATTATCCAAATGCCTGCACAAATATCCTATTCCTAGCTCTCCGTACGCTCCTATCAAAGGTCATATCCTGAATAAGGCCCATAAGTTTTAGGTCATGTCTAATCACCTCCTTCGAATTCTTCCTAGTCAACCTCTTCCCCATCTCTAGGATGTTTTGAAAGTTTCTGCGCAGCTCAATGAAGTAAGTTTACTTAGTTCTTTCAATTTATGTACTGCTCTTTATGTGAAGCATCTGTGCCCTCTTTTTAACCTCTTGGACCTGTTTCTTTGCTACAGAGCTTGTATCTTCATTGAGCACTAAAATTGTTCTAAACCATTACAACTTAAGGTTCCCATAATTTATAGGGCCATTAAATCACTAGGTTTATGAAGTATTAGTCAAAAGCTCAAAGCACACTTTTTTTGTCCAAAATAATACGGAGTACTCAGCATCAATCTTTGACTCTGTCCAATCTCGAAGATGCAATATGCTGCTTTATAGCATTTTGGTTCTCTTTTTTCTATCTTCTGAATTTCTTCCAGTATGGTATTTCTTATGTTCACCTTATCCTTTTTGCTTATTACTTATACATATTTTATTACCAAACCAGGAACATTCAAATCATACCCGTCCATACCAGAATATTAAAATTAGAAAAGACAACAACATCAACAAATAGTACAAATCTTGCATTCACACACACAAATAAGCAAAGTTAAAAAATAAACAATTAGATCAATAAGCACACATACATTCGAACGAGATTAGGTCTAACATTTAGGGAAGACCAGCCATAAAATATCAGATACAATTCCATACAAACACATTTTTTCAACCGAAAAAAAATTGTATGGAAAAATCATAATCATATCATTAAATTGATATCTGATTTTTTCAAGGCTTATTCTCAATCTCCACTGGTATATGATTGTTTTCCTCTTTTACATTTTAGGGTTGAAGACTAAAATACTAAATATTCTATTCGCCGGTAAACTTCAAATCTTATTCAAGACTCCATATCTCCATTGTCAGGGTAAATTTAAACGTGGTTTGATGAAAAGGATATGAAGGTAAACTGAGACAAGTATGCGTTTGCACAAAAAAAGAAACTAAGTTGCCAGTTTTGGTACAGAATAATGCAGTTTTTGAATGGCTGTATAAGGACCTAACAACAAGAGGATGGGAGATGACATTGTTTCTGCTCGCTGGGGTGCAAGAGAAAAATGTGGGAGATCTGGGCCAAGTGAGGTGCGTGGAAGGCGAATATGGCAGAGTTTTGAGGAAATGGCGGAGATTAGAAACCAATGGCAGTCATACTTTCATAGCCCTCTAAATGGAGGGGAAGAGAGTCCGATGCTAGGTGAGTTAGGATAGTCTGTGAGTCGTCAAGATTTCAAGAATTGTCAGCACATTAGAAAGAAGATGGTGAATGCTATTTACAAAATGAAAGGAGAGAACTTTGGGACGAGAGGAGATCCTAGTGGAGTTTATGAAGATTGTAGGAAGAGATGTATTGGTGTGGATTGTCAAGTTATTTAATGTTATTTTAAAGATGGCTAAATTACCTGAAGAATAGTAGGAGAGAACATTGAAGGATTCAAAATGAATCATAGAGACGAGGTTGAAGAGGAGGTGTCGAGGTGAGCATTTCCAAAAACCAATTCAAATTCATGCTAAGTCAGTCAACCAAAGAGGCCATTTACTTATTCAGGGGTAAACGGAGCAATATAGCAATAAGAAAAAGACATTCACATGGCGTTTGTAGACATGGATAAAGTGCATGACATAGTTGTTAGAGAGATCTTGTGGAGGTGCTCAGAGACAGAGTACACAGGTGCCAGTAGCTTACATTCCAGTTGTTATGAACATGTATGATGGGGTGAGGACCAGAGTGAGGCCGATTGGAAGATGATTGAATCACTTCTTGGTTAATAAGGAATTAATTAAGAGGCATGTCGTTAGTCCTTTCTTGTTTGCCCTAGTAGTGGATGTTTTGGCGAGACATATCCAAGGGGAAGTACCTAGGTGTATGCTTTTTTAGGGCAACATTGTTCTAATTGATGACGCACATAACGTACTTATTGATTGATTAGAAGTGTCGATACATATCTTAATTCTAAAAGTTTCACACAATGCATGACTAAGACTGAGTGCAGAGTGCAGCTTTAGCGGGTCGGATGAGATGGACACTTGCTTCAAGCATCTTATGAGACGACAATATTTGCGAAGCTGGAAGGCAAGCTTTACCAAGCAGTTATCAGACCGACTATGTTGGAGCACTCATGTTCAAAATCTCCAGGTGGTGGAAATGAGGGTGCTGAGATCCTGAGATGGATATCGTTCATACGAAGAAAATAAGATGTATAGGATGTGAAATGGAGATATACGAGAAAGGTGGAATGGTATGTATGAGGATAAGTTGTGCGAAGCTAAACTGAGATGAATTGGGCAAGTGCTGAGGAGAAGTATTGATACTCTGGTTAGGAGGTGTGAAAGGGGGGAGGTACGAGACGTGAGGAGACATAGAGGTGGACTTCGAAAAGTTGGAACAAGGTAATTGTGGATATGATATTAGATAGGAGCATCTGGAGGTCGGGGATTAGGGTGGTCCTTGGTAGGATAAGCCTTGGAATGTGATCTAGCCTTGTGTGGAACTTGTGCTTTAGTTTGTTATATCTAGGTGTGTGAGTGCTTCTTTGGTGTTACTCTCTTCCTTTTTTTCCTTTTCTATTTCCCCTTACCTATTGTTTTTTTCCTTTCTACAATTTTCGTGATTTTGAGCTGGAGGCCTCTAAGAAACAAGCTCTCTACTCTCACGGTAGGGGATAAAGTTTGTGTACACTCACGCTCCATAAACTGATAAACCCGTCACTTTGTGAGATTTTCCTGGGTTTGTTGTTCTAGTTGTTGTTGTTGTTGTTGTTTCTTTCCATTTTATATTTTTACATGTAGCAAACGGCTTCCAAAATACTTAAATTTGCAACACGAAAATGCAAGGCACGTTTAACAAAAAAACCCCACTCAAACTCAAAAATCTACAAAACTCAATAACGAAGAACACCATGGACTAGCTAGAAAGAGACAGAAAAAACTCACATCATTGCCATGGAGATTTGCTTGAGATCAGTCTCCATATTCTTCATGTTAGCAAGTGACTGAGCACTGAAAATTATTGCGAGCCACGAACATATTTTGTACTGCAGAAGAAAAGTAGATCATCACACTACGAACTTCACCAAAATATACAACAATGAACAACCTAATGGGGCCAAAACACAAATCAGGATGAAAAATAAGAACACAATTCTGAAGCTGAATTGCTTTGTAGCAAAATTCTAAAGCTGAATTAGATCGGAGGTAGTTGTATCGCAAATACATACTCGGAACATGGCACCGAAAACACCAAAGACGACGGCGATGAAGCCGGAGTAGTCTATAGGAAGATCCTGAGGGGACACCGCCTGAGGTTTGTACGGCTTGACCGCCGACGGCATGCGTGGATCGCTGCCCTGCGACGACATTGCGGATCAGTTAGTTTGGGGTATGAAGAAATTTTGCTCTGGAAATTCGATGACTACTTTTGTAACAATGGATGGACGAATGATACGAGTATGATGTTTAATGGACTATTACTCTCACTCTGACCATTTATTTCTTATTTTGTCTTGAACCGAGATTAAGAGGAAAAAAAATTATATTTGTATCCCAAGAATTTGCATCTCATTTTGTACATCGTTGGGATGTACCAACATTTTGTATTGGTGTAATACTAATTTTTGTTAACGCACTAACACTTCGTGTCAGTTTAAATTTTTGTTAACGCACCAACATTTTGTGTCAGTGTGAACCATCAAAATGTTGTTGCATACCTTTGGTGTGCAAATGGGGTGCAAATTGTGGGGTACACGTAGCATACTCCTTAAAAGAAATAAAAAGTATAAACATTTTTTATGTTATTTTTGATGTGATGAAATAAAGTAAATAGTACGGAGTATTAATAAAAATGAAGATATAATGACACATTCATTCAAAGTTTTTGCTGAAGTAAAAATGAGAAATAAATTTGTCGATGGGTCCAAAAAAGAAAATGGAAAAGAAATTATTTAGATGGAGAGAGAGTATATTTAGTGGTGTTTCTCTCTTCTTAGAAGTTGGTCAAAACTGCTTATAAACAGTTTTTAATTTATAAATCAACTGATGACCTATTTTGTGTGATTATAAATTAACCTATAAGCTGCTTATAAGCTTGAAAAAATAAGTAGGTCTTAGTTACTTAATTTTTTAGTTAGATTTTTTATTTCTTCGTTTTGACCACATTATTTACAAAACTGTCCAACACTATTTATGAATATTTCCAAGTGACTTATCTATCATTTTAGTCATTTTACTTTCATAAAAGACTATTTGACTTATAAACAGCTTCTAAGGTTGTGTTCTATTCATGTGATCTCATCTGATTTGATTTTTTGAAGTTGTGATCTGATCTAAACTAATATAATTGGACCTGATCTGATCTCGCCTAATCTGATATGTTCTGTTATAAATTTGATTAAAATTATTATTATAATACTCCGTAGTTATAATACTAGTAATAATAATGGAAATATTAATGATAATAGTAATAATAATAATAATAGAAATAATAGTAAGAGAAATAATGATAATAAATGCAATAATAATAAAAATAGAAATAATAATAACTATAGTAATAATAATAGTAGTAGTAATAAGAATAGTGATAATAATAACTATAATAATAATAATACTAATAGTAATAGTAATAATAATAGAAATAAAAATAATAAATATTAATAATAGAAATAGTAATAAAAATAATAGTAACAATGATAATAATCATAATAATATTAATAATATTAATAGTAATAATAATAATAACAATAGTAATAATAATTATAGTCATAATAATAATAATAGTAATAATAATAATAGTAATAGTAATAATAATAAAAGAAATAATAATAATAATAATAGTAATAATAATAATAGTAATAGTAGTAATAACAATAGTAATAATAAATGTAATAATAATAATAGTAATAGTAATAATAACAACAATAGTAACAATAATAATAATATTATTAATATTAATAGTAATAATAGTAGTAGTAATAATAATAAGAATAGTAATAATAATTATAATCATAATATTAACAGTATTAGTAATAGTAATAATAATGGTAATGATAATAATAGTAATAAAAATATTAATTTTGTTTACATATAATCTGATATGATCTGATTGAATCTGATATTATCTGATCTGATTTTCATAAGAATGATTAATAAATAAAAAAATAAGTTGAATGAAACATTGCCCAAGTTAAAAACTGTTTATCAACAATGAGTCAATAAACACCAACACAGAGTCTAGCCCCTTAGATAGAGAGAGAGTTTCCATTCCTAAGGATGCATTTAAAATAGAGAGCCCATTACATTTATTATTTTTTAATTAATTTAAAATATTGAATTTGTAGAATTTAATTTCAAAATATTTAAATATATTATTTAATTAAAATGTTGAATTTGTAATATTTAATTTTAGAATATTTAAAAATGGAGTATTTTATATTTTTTATTAAATGGATGGATGAAATGAGTTGTGAGTATTTGTTAAAAATAATTAGGTATTTAAAAGATAATGTGGATGTGAGATAATGTCTAGATAAATGAATTTTAATTTAAAAGGATGAGGATGCTCTAAAACTTCATATTAGAACTCAGAAAAAAAATTGGTGTAATTTTTTGACCTGAAAAATACAGATTTTTGAACAGAATTTTTTATAATCAAACTCGAAGATGAAAACAACTAAAATGGCTTGATAAAAATGGATCAAACTCAATTAAGTCCAAACTTGACTACCGGCGTGTTAACATAAATGGGATGAGGGAGTATGTATGTAGTATGTACTACTCCGTACATAGTAATAATAATAATAATAATAATAATAATAATAATAATAATAATAATAATAATAATAATAATAATAATAATAATAGCAAACATTCTAAGTATAGAGTCTGACAAATGTGACAAATGTGTTCGAAGTCAATTATACTAAGCATAAAACTTATGAAGTATCAGGTGCAGACTCAAACATTTGCCAGATTCTAACTTAATTTATTTTCTCTCAAGTGACCGTCTGACTGATTCTAAAAGAACCCTCAAGAATGGGGCTCATCATTATTAATAATAGTAAACATAATACATGAATGATGGTGTAAATTACCTAACCGGGTAAACTATATTAGACCGGGTCTAGAACAGTTCACTTGATTCGATAAAGTAAAAAGGTAAAAACACTCAAATGACCGGTAAGGCTGTAGGTGGAAACACCTGTAGTATAATTGATATTAATATGAGAGAATGCACGGGTGCTTTTACAAGGAAGTTTAGAGAGAATGAATTCGGATCCCTCTTTCTGAGGTTTACAGCAGTATATATACAAAGACTTAGGGGACAAAGTATCGTTTGCCCACGTCGAGGCACGTTCTCGGAAGGTAGGAGGTGATGCCTTTCGTCTCTTAGCGGCCTTGTCGCCTTAGTGAAGGAGATTGCTCTCTTGTCCTGCAGCGCTTTGGATGGATTGTTCAAGCATCTTCAGCGATCCTCCACTGATCTTGGTCGCTACAATCCAAATCACTTTGGTTTCTTTCTTGCTGACGCTCTCCAATCTTTGGAAACGGCACCGGGTGGTTCTTGAGGGTTGGATTAGCTAAAATTGAGAGATGAACTGGATGACGAAACGGTTTGATCAGTATACTTTTGGCAGTATACCGGTCAACTTTCCGGTGAACTGAGTTCTCCTTCACTGGCGACTCAAATCTCCCTTTCAATAATATCACATTTGATCGGTCAAACATCTGGATATGTCCTTTGACCGGTCCTCGGTGGATTACACCCATCAACGAATACCAAAACAATTAATTATTTTAAGAAGGAAATAAAAAAAAGAAAAGTTTAATATTAAACAGTTAGAGTAATAACTTATAGTTGCGACAAATCACAAGCTGAACTTTATTTGAAAAACTTTAAAAACTAAAAAAATTTAAAAGAGATAAAACAGATACTCCGTATTATATTTTTATAGAGTTAATAGTATTCAAAAAAAATTATTAGCTCAAAAGAGATGAAAAGAATCCCAAAATTAAAGTAATTTTGAGTTCTCAAAATCACTGCCAAAATGACGGTTGTGTCCAAAGAATGACGCGAATATTCGAACTTCGAATCCAATTTCTAATTCGATAATTGCATCCTTATTATCTCTGGTTTGGGCAAATGAAAACTTTATTTTGACCGTCTCTATATTATCCTCTTCATTTAAGTAAGGAGTATTTATTTCAATGGCTTTTAAGAGACTTAGAGCATGGGCAGTGGCATGGCGAGGCAAATAGCCTCCACGCACTGCCACATCAGCACCAAGCATATTTCCCCTCGCGTGCCATTTGTATTTTGACTCGCCGTACGAGTCATTGCCAAGGCATGGAATGCTTAATTTTTCTTTTGTTTTTTGTTTTTTTTAACGTCAGAACGAAATAAGGAGGAGAATTACTCAATCATCTCCTTTTCATGCTACAGGGACGAAGAACATAGTGGGGAACTCAATCATCTCCTTTTCATGCTTTTTGATTTATTTTGTTTAATTTGTATTATGATTTTTAAATTTGTTAATTGATTATTCACTATGAAATATTTTTATTTTTAGTTCAATTTCTATTTTTATATAAAAAAAGCTTTTTCTATGAAGGTAATAGAAATGCGGAGTATTTGTAGGTTAAAAGAGATGATAAAAATAATTTTTGTTGGTTAATATACATAAAAAAATTTAAAAAACAAAAAAAGTAATGACTTGCCATTGCAGGACTTACACTCCACTCACTTGCCACTCTGTGACTGGACGTGTTTTAATTGGTTGAAATATGCCTCGTCATCGCGTGGCATTCTATTTCTTTACTTGCCATTGCTGATGCTCTTAAGGCAATGTTCCATTCAATTTATTGTTTCTACTTATTACTTATTTTTATTATAATCAGATCAGACCAGATCAAAAACAACTTTAATTATAACTGGAACCTGATCAGAATAAACCAGATCAGACAAGATTAAATATTCAAAATCATGCGAACGTAACGCAGCCTCAGTCATCTACCCAATCAAACTTGGTAAGAGGTAAAAAGAGATTGTCCTGATTTCCAAATAGAGGTGCAAAGATGATGCGTGCCCTACCATGAAGTAGAGCCAACACCATCCAAACCCACATTGGGCACAGGGATCACACATTTGTTCTCTTCAACTTATTCTTATTACGTACGGGGTATTATTTATTTATTTTTTTAGAATCTGATCAAATCAAATCAGACCAGATCACACACAACTCAAAAATACAACTACAATCAGATCAGACCGGATCAAATTAGAACTTAGTTGATTCTGATAAGAACCAATTAGATCATGTGGAGAGAGAACAAGAACAAGCCCTAAATTGGGAGAATCTTGAACATCCGATTCAGGATTGGATGGCAGACGACAAACCCTACAAGCTGTCAATTCATTCTTTCCTTGAACCAGAATCAATCTTTTTTATCCCATTGGCTCCCAAAAAACAAAAGACCTAAATTGAGTATGTATACTCTAACAGCTGGGAACTTTTTATACAGCCAAAAAAAATTGAGACCTTTGGACCAGAATCATACGCATAAAAAGAGATGATGATGGCAGAAGTAATTAAACAAATAGAAGCCTCTTAAATCTTACAAAAGGCTATTTCGTAAGTATGTACATACCAGTAGGAAAACATGGAAATTGGTTAAACTGTGTGTTGATTTCTCTGTGTGACAGGCCGGGCTAAAACCCATCCCCACTCACCGAAAAAAAAGGATACCTCGTCTCTGTGCAGCTTGAAGACTATGAAGAGCATATACATTCTCCTGCTGTTCCTTCCACTGTTCCTTCCAGTTGTCAGTATATAACCCACATGGAGGGCAAGTGCAGGGAGACTTTTGGAATGGAAAACGGTGCGGGGAGGGGGTGGGGAAGGCTATTGACATATAATCACAGGGAGAAACATTGTACCCCAGTCGGGAGATCCCTAGGCATGGGGAGTGGAGTCACATATCTCTGGGCAAAAGGGTTGCAAAGATGTGTGGCCGAATCCGACGACGTTGATGGTGCGGCTGCACCATCAGCTTGGCCCCGGCCATAGAACTTTGCAAACCTGTTAATGACAGAGAACTTCTCCAAATCTTGGTTTTCGGTCACCAAATCCACCAATGACAATCTCCTGTCTAGCCTGTGCACATGAATGGAGCACAAGTGAGAAAGCTGGACTGATGATATTATAAATAGAAATAGCAACAAGAGAACAAAGAAAGCTTTGAGAGGTTAAACAAATTATCCCACCCCATCCTCCACAACCCAACCCCTAACCCCTCTTACCCCAAAAAAAAAAAAGAAAGAAAAAAATTTGATCAGCTAAGAGTCAAAAGAAAATGACTGGCTAAAAGATAGAAAAGCACAGATGTTCCTTTCTCTATCAGTATCCCAAATTCACCACAGCAGTAGTAGAGGGCTACTGCATGTGTACACACAACCTAGAAATCTAACAACATGATATTAAGCATTTGTCCAGATTATATTTGATATCAAATTCTGTGATTCTGTCCCTAAAAAATACTTGTACCGACAGCACAGACCAGCTCATGAAGTGTAAAGAAACAAAATCAGCCAAGACCAAACACAAGATTTGACCAAAAAAATAAGAAAGTCAAGCCAATTGCAAAAATCAGAATAAGATGTCAACAACACCTAGAAACCTATTGAGATCCCACATAAATCACAATGGGATGTCCAACTATATAAATCCGTTAGGTGGTTGGGACTGGGGAGAGGCAAATAACAGAACATTACTTCAAAAATTCTTCTTCTAAGATTCTTGCCCTCTCAGTGAACTCTTCAATAACTTTAGAGAGATGATGATCATTGTCTTCCAATTCTTTACACTTGCTTGATATCCTAAAGAACGTGCAAGAATAGTCAAGGGGTATATTAACCAAAAGCAAACATGACAAAAAAGCTCCTTTCGCATCCAACACAAACTTACCTTTCTGTGCCATCAGCTCCCATACTAGGATTGTCATTAGACCTAGAAACCATGCCACATGCATCACCCAATACCAATCTAGAAACTGAATAAGCAACAGCCTCATATTCTGCATAGGAATTTGCAGAGAGAATCATTTTTGGTGGGGGTGGAAATACTTGCTGCAAAAGCTGAGTAGACAAGACAAGTCTTCTTCTTGCTCTATGTCTTGGGGGGGCATTTTCGTTTAAGTCAACATCTTCCTCAACCTTGCATTGGAAGAAGGTAGTAAGAAACCAAAAAATCTGATTCTATGATTGTACAACGAGCCTAAATATAGTACCTTTTCAGCAACACGATTCACCACTTTTGCCCAAACCAATTCAGCAAAGCTGTGGTTCAATCATATTAACATGTAAGAAAACATTTTCTTGAACATCCTAAAAAAGTGCATGCTACCAATGAAACATAAATTTGCTATGGGAAGATTATTGGAGTCATTTTGCAAAATGCTAACCTGATAGTCTGAAGATTACATGAGCCCTGTGAAACTACATCACACCAAGGACTCAAGTGAGATGAAATATGCTTGCGCTTCTTGGGTCTTAACAGGGAATGTGGATCACCCATGCCCACGGATAATGAAGGGGAAGAGCAAAACTGCTCAGCAGCAGCAGGAATGGAGTGCAAGCTAGGCTTAACATCTTGACCTGTATCATTATTAGCAGGTACCAATTGCTGCTTTGTTTTAAACATTTGCAAACTGCTGAAGGACTTGTCAAGAACGAGAGGTGGTTCACCCATATTCGTGACAGATACTTTTTGTGCATCATGCAAAACCTGCCCATTCTTAAAGGTTCCAGATCCAAAATGATTAAACCATGTTGGCGCCATTTGTGGACTAACATGGGTGTGCTTGAATTTAACAGAATTTGCATTATTTCGAAGAGAAATGGTTCGAGAATCATCCATATGAATTCCATGCATTTCCTGGGTAGGTGCATTTACTTCTTGAGAAGTCATGTTTATTTCCATATGACCCGGCTCCGAGAATTTTGGCATTCTAGAATCCACTGAGGGAACAACCACATGCTTAACTTGCATGCAAACAGAACTGTCATCCGAGGGACGGGATCCTTTTAGAGCCTTACTGTGTTCAATTTCCTCATTCTTCATATACTGAATCTGGTTTGGTGATGAGAAATTCTGATGAGAAAAGTTATTAGGCTTCAAAGATCGCCCGAAGGCTTCAATATCTCTTTGCATTGATGCCGAAAAAACAGGATATACATCAGATGGATTATTTATGATGTGTTCTTCCTGAGCTTTATTCGTCTTCTCAACAATGTCAGAACTACTCAATGATACATGCTGATGTCTTTCCTTCATCTGTTCCTCTTCTCGGTGTAATTGACCCAGCGGGTTCAAATCATTTGCATAAACTTCAGTCGAGGAATTTCCTCCGGTGTTTGCATCTCGATCTCCTCGGTTTTCTGTAGCAGAAAATGTACCCACAACATTTGATTGGTGCAAGCATGGATTTTCCTGAGATGTGTTCCATGTATTATCCATGGTCTTTGCCAAGGATGCCTGTTGAGACATGATTGAACTTGAAAGAAGCTGAGAAGCAAGTAAGGAATTATCAACTGATCTTTCAGGGGTTTCATGGGAATCAATGGAACTAGCCTGCTTACACATCCCCAACGAGTTAGGTAAGTTAGGACATGCAATATTGCTAGCCACTTCATGAGAGAATTTTTTCGCTGATAGACCACAAGATGGTTCCCTATGTGAATCATCTTCCTCAGTGAAACAGGTTGTATCCTTAAATGATCTACTGGGAGACTGGCTTTTCAACTCCATCAGTTGATTTTTAACCCGGCTTCTTGAATAGGGTAATCCAGAACTCAATGGTGGATGAAATTCTCCGGTCATCTCATTTTGGTTGTACTCATTATTGCCATTTCTTAGAACTTCAGATTTGATGGCAAACTCTACTTGGGCTGTTTCACTAGAAAGGAAGGATTTGACTTGGGACATTGAGGCTATATATGCCTTGTCACCAATCTCAACAACAGATTGACTCGGGGATGACGAACAAACAGTTCGCATAGAACTTTGAGATGAGAGTAAATTGTTGTGAACAGGCGTGAACTGAGATGGAGGGCCAAGTTGGAGACCAAATACTTGAGCAGCTGATGAGTGACTAGGATACTGGCGCACAACAGACCCATCAGAGTTTTCTGCTTTAGGCATTGTGGTGCCAAACACTCTTGATTGATCCACCTTGGGAAGAAGTTGTAGCATGCTTGGACTGTAACAGAACAATTTAAAATATTGAAGCAAAAATACCATAATAGGAGTATATCCTAATGTAAAGAACAAAGCAATTGAAATTTAAACAAGCCATATTTTCCAAAACAAAATTAATTGAATAAAAGTAAATGAATAAAGACTGAATGCTGGCAGGAGCTGTCAAAATATAGCCAGCATTAGTAAAAAATGAGAAATGTGATATCCATATACTAACTACCTAGAAGATGGAGAAGCTGTGAGTTGGGGAGGAATATCAACAGATCCTGTAAAAGGCACAGACATATTAGACACAGAGCTCGAAAAACAACTCTGAGTGTGCACATCAGCTAGCCCTTGGCCATCTCTTAGAACATTAGATGATTGCCCCTGTGAAAAAACAAGTTAACAAAAAGTCATGTTTTATATTTATTTCCAAGATTTTGGTGAAAATAAACTACTTACGCAGCAAATCATCAAAACAATTCTTCTGAACCTGAATGAAAAGCTTAGACTGGACAACATGCGCTGTCTGCGAGGTCATGGCCTGTGTACAGAGAATCTTTTGCAATGCATTAGGAGAACCTACATATTCATCCAAATTTCCCATGGGATGATAATGAAATTTACGAGCAGAACTTTTTTTCCCTGTGTTATTGGACAACTTCTCCTTGCCAGTAAAAAGAGACCTTGAATCACTGGAATCTAACAAAACATTTTCCCTCCAGCTTCCAGCAGAATTTTGGTGTGAAACATTGGACCGGTAGCTGTCATTGGAGTTTTCCGGCTTATTGTAGATATCGGCCTCATGCGTTCTATCTTCTTGAGATGTGGTTTCTAGCGAGTTCAAATTATGATCATTGATATTGTGAAAATGTGATCTCTCAAAACCTAGAGTTTCTTTACCCTTGGCTGAAGTATTAGCATTCTTCCAATGCTTAACTTGATTCGGACTGTTATTCAATAGAAATCTACTGCTTTCTTCTGTGCCACTCAAAGAACTGTGCTTCACAAAAGTTTCAGCACCTTTTGAGCAAAGAAGCTCTGAATTAACTGGGCCACTAGCAGGAGAATATCTTGTAAGCTCAAAATTTGCAGCTCCATGTGTTTCAGGATCAACTTTCCAGAAAGCACCAGTATGCACAGTGTCTCCATGTATGCCTATGTTTTGACTGCTACCTAAAGAATTTGAGCAGTTCTGACTTGAATGAATCCTAGCAGAAGCATCTTCTGTGGGCACTGTGGACCCAAGAGCATCCCAATCATTTATTTTATCATGCGTTTTACTAGGTCTATCAAGCTCATCTATCCATGAACTGGAAACCATTTTGGAATCAACTTCCCTATCAAAAACATGTGATGTGCTCGTCTGCATTGGTGCAACAGCTGGCCACTTGCTGTTTTCCTCAGATGGTTGAACAAGTCTATGCACAGAATTTATTTGCATTTTTTGGCTGATGTCATTGATATATTTATGTCCAAATTGCTGAAATCCTGGATGGTTGACAGAACTACTCTTCATATTATCGCTGTCAGAAGGCTGACTGGCCTCGTGATTCATGGATGATGCAATAGGGATGTGGGCATCCATCAAAGTACTCGGTTGCCTCCCATTATTATTCATTGAAACATTTTGATTCCGTGAAGGAACAACCGTGCTCTGAAAGTTCAAACCGCTCAACTCTTCTTGTGGTCCTAAATCTGTACTAGCTGCTTCTGCAATAGCAGACTGCATTAGAGCACTCCATGTACCTGCTTGAATAGAAGGGAACCCATTCAGTAATCCTGAAGCATCAAGTGAATTGGAGGCCTCTTCACCCGTATTAACACTCTTTCCAAACGCAGCCCATATATTATCATCTGAACCAAACAAAATTCTTTCCTCTGTAGGATCAAGACCAACTTCATTGGGTGGGGAACGAATTTTGTTTAATGCTTTCTCTTGTGGGTTCATTGAAGGACTAGCAGCTTCCTCTCTTTCTTGGAACTCTTGTATGGCTTCCCTATGTTGAATGGCATTCACTTCCTGAAGGTTCTCCATATTAATTGCATTATATAGACTTTGGTTAGGACCATGTCCAACTGACTTTTCACTTATGAATCTCTGTCTCGAAACAGTAGTTGCATCCTGAACACCAACTTGATCAGGTGATTGAGCATATTGTTGAAATGGTATTGAAGTACTAAAGGAAGCAGACTGCTGCATTTGTAGCTTATCAGTCACTGCTTGGGAATACTGGCTGGAGGGGATTCCACCAGTTCTCAAAGTAGAAACAGGAACTCCGAAAAGAGATTGATCAATCTGTTGAGGAGTCAGACCCATCATATGATGTCCTTGACCATGATTGCTAGATGGAACACCATTAGAGGATACTTGCAACGCGGAAGAGCTACCTTGTAACCAGTTTGTGTTACTATTATCTGCTGCCCCTGAAAAGCCCAGTGCTCTGGAATGAATATTGCTGTTAACCAGTGGAAAAGTCTGGTTTTGTGGATTTTGTTGTCTAGCATCTGGTTGCTGAAGTTTCTGTTGCCTTTGAAATTCTTGCATCCTCATGAACATTACTTGCTGTTGTAGTTGATGCATGTCTTTGAGGCCAGACTGCTGGAGCTGCAGAGGTTGCAGCATGTTCAATTGCTGACGACTCATTTGTTGATGACCACCAAAAAGACCAAAATTACCAGAAGATAGAGAAGCTCCAGAATTGACCATCTGTGCTTGATGCTGAAGACCCACTCCCTGCAGTGATTGTTCATAAAAAGATCCAGCTGAAGCTACATTTTGCTTATCAGAATCCGCTGCCAGAAAGTTTCCTTCATCCTGCCGGGTTTCATAAAGATTTCCATATGTATATCCATTGAAACTTTGCTGCTGGCTCTGCAGCTGAATCTCAGGCCTTGAAGTAAATCGAGTGAAGTTCAAGCCAGGTGGTCCATTCGCCAAGTGACTGTTTGATCCTCTACCTGTGTCGACTACTTAAATAGAAGTGATAAACCAATGTTAGAGAATTGGCAATCCAAACCACATGACATACTTCCTCAGCACATAAATAGTAAACACTCACTATCAAGAAATAGAAACATGGCAATAATATATACCTAATTCAGTGCATGAAACAGTCTACAACACAATGCAAAAGATGAAATGTCATCCAATTTACAAGACCATAAATACCTGATTGTTGTAAATTAAAACCTTTTGTTGTGTAACTTGGAACACAATTAGGTCCCTGGTTTCCAGCCCACAGATAATTATTCAGACCTGGTTGATTCTTGTCCAATACCTCTGGCTGATGCTGCCCCGGTGAAAAGGTGTCTTGAGCAAAGAAATTGTGGACCCTATCTCCAACTCCGTTGCCAGGCATAGATGATATTAAATACAAAGGACTTTGTCTGTGATTGTTGACTTCAAACCAACACAACAGAATATTGCTAGCATTGAAAGTTGCCTATCTGGCATTTTAAAGCATAACGACAGCTGATATCTGAATTTCTTGATGACA